GAGGCAGGGAAATGCAGGTGGGAGGGAGCAGATAGAATTACTCCAGGTGATCCTTCTAATTTGCAATAGTCTGACAACTTTTACAGCTGCGGGTGTGGGTACCATCATGTCAACTACAGCAAAATCCTCCCTACAGGAGCAGCGGCACCTCCAACACCAAATGCCTTTTGCCTAGAGCCCATGCGTTCGCTGCAGCACAAGATGCTTCCAATAATCCTTTCCCATAGGAGAACAATCCAGACTGGAGGGAAAAGCACCAGTTCACTCCTGAAGAGAACTAATCAACATCCCTTCTCATTAAACTGCAACTAAGTCCTTCTACTGAGCATGCAAAAGATACCACGCTTACCGAAGCAGACACCGAAATACCACCCTCCTACCCCAAATCAAGCTATCAAGCATTCAAATTCCCTTCAAACACCTACCGGTGTCCACTGCACATCTCACCTGAAGAAAGGTAGAAGACATCTCATTTAAAGAGGCTCACTCGTATTAAAATCAACCATGCAAGGTTACAACAGCACTTTTAATATTAATATATTAATACTTTGTTGTTGTATATTCAGAATAACTCCAGAAGGATGGGGGGGAGGAACACCCCCCCAATGTTTGCCTTGGAAAAGGACGAGGTGCCTTACAAAGTTGAAGTATTCCTGAAAGTATACATTCAACTTTTTTTTATCCTAAAGAGAAGGTATTTTGTCTCATCAAATACTCACGTGAGTCTCAGAAAAACAGTTTCTGAAATTACTTTGATGGAATTGAGGGGAGGCAGGGAAATGCAGGTGGGAGGGAGCAGATAGAATTACTCCAGGTGATCCTTCTAATTTGCAATAGTCTGACAACTTTTACAGCTTACTCCATTACAACAGTGAATAAACACAACAACTGGGAGAAAAATTGAGTTTCCACACATCCATTTTTATTCCCAAATGTTCACGATCAGTCTTGTTTCGTGACAGCAGCACTAGCGTAGAAGGGGTCTGAACACAATACATTATATATTCTTCAAAAGTCTACTGGCATTCAGCTGCACGAAGTTATGTGGTCTAAAACCATCAGCATGCTTTTTAAAAAACCATTTATTTAAGCTCATCCGTGCTGCTCATCCTTTTTTAAGCCTATGTGGAAATCAACATTAGCAAAAATCATCATCCAAGGATAGGTCATCCTAAGTGTTCACAGTGAGCGTCCCCTACACAATACAGCATTGAAAAATGGGTCCTTAGGTAAAGGTTTGAAACTTTGCGTGCAGATTTAGTGTTAGGAATCTTGAGGGAAAAATGAACTCTAAACTAAGAGAAGACAGGCAAGCTAATTCCAGTTTCTGCACTGTAAACGCTCACTTTACTGCCAACTCTGCATCCTCCTTGAATCTTTTAAGCACCACTGATGTTTTTTCTACTGCCTAGCATAAATGCGACGCTCAAACTTAAGATTCAATAAATCTGTTCCCACTACAGAATTTGATGGAACATTCAGATATCCCAGTAAAGTCACGCTACAAGCTGCATGCTTTTCAATGTTTTCTGAGAAGCAGAAAACACCATTAGAATGCTACATACACAGACACACGTTTCACTGAAAACAAAATTATGTTGGTTTTGTTTCAACAACAATCACTAATATCGCAAAAGGAAAATTTCCAGAAGCCACCCCTCTTCTCAACCCTTTTGCTGTCAAATGGGAAAGATACACATGATAACCTAATTTAATACTAGTTAATTACTCTCAGAAACTGTCATGGCCATTTAATACTGCAAACTGAAGCTTCGTGTAAGGTTTTATAAAAGCCCACTTCAGCCAACACAATAGGCTCGAAGGTGACTCGAAGACCTTAGAGCAGGCAGAGAAGCGTGGTACGTCTTTTGAAGTCAGACCTTAGGACAGAAGATAAGTGGTACTACTCATCTTGTGTTCTTCCACTCCATCCAAAGAGTCAAGGGTGCTGAGAATGCAGAAAAGGGGTCAAGTTGAAGGAAGGCAATTTCCCCAGCAAAGGAAAGGAAAGCTAAAGGCTGACTTAGGTAAATGTTCTCTCATTCAGATTCTATTTTGGAGCTATAAATCATTGGAAAAAAGTTCAGATAAATTTTATTTTCTTACCTACTTCTATGTAATGAGACTTTCTTTGTCTCATTTAGTATTCCTTTGATTAGCATGAGCTTACGGATTCATTAGGTGCAGAACTGACAGAAAGCACGGGCACTTCACTCTCGTTCACACGACTCATCTCCACATGGTACCAGCCACATCACACTTTCTTTTTTCTTCACCCTCTGGACTGCCTTACACATAAAGTCTTCCTAAGAGCTAGCAGCAAAGCAAGTGTTTGAGAACTGGCACAGCAACAAATTCAAGAGAATGTTCACATTTCCTCCCTATATTACCGGCTTGAAAGCAAGTGTTTTGTGTTGGTTTTTTTTTTTTTTTTTTTTT